AACCAAAGCCCTATCAAGCATGCAAGCAGTTGTGTGGATTTGGCAAACCTGGTATCAGGCTACCTGTTATATAAATGCTTTGCCCAGCACTTCCAGACTGATGCATATGCCCTCCCCTTGCTGCCTGTGCTCTGAGTGTCTGAGGGGATGAGCTGGAGGTCAGGGAAAGGTAGAGGCCCGGTTGGGCTGGTCCATGCAAGCTGGGAACCTTGAAGGGTGCATCTGGATATGTGCATTTTTGGCAGGAGGGAGGACTGGGGACAACTGATCTGAATGGGTTTGGAAAAGATGAGGAGCCCTTTAAGGAGCCACACTGAAAGTTTCCAGTACATTCGCCTAGTGATCCAAGAGGGCATGGGAATGGGGTGTGTCATCCATGCAGTTGGGTCAGACCTGCCTGGTTCCCGTCTCACTGTCCACTCCCAGATGAGAATTAGGATCTGAGTAAAATTACCATGCTGCTGGGCTGCTGCTGCACAGTGATGGCAGTGACTCCAACTCCTCAGGGTGAGTGACTTTATAGGGAAGACCAGGTTCCTTGGCTGCTGCATGGCAACAGTGTGCTTCCTGTCTTAACCCTGGTTCCTCACATGCACAGCAGGGAATTCCCCTTGCCTTCATTCCTTGTTACAGATGCACTTTAAATCCACATTTATCTCTATTCCACTCACTCTGCACTCCCAAAGTGCTGCATCGGGGTGCCATAGAAAGTGGCATCCTATTATGGAGCTGTAAAGGGGTTTGGGCCATGGGTGCTGGAGTTCTCTGAAGACTTAGCGTGCTGCTTTCCTGGAGACAGATGCTTGCTTTTACTGGGAAATGGATGGGCACGCACACATGCACAGTGCTTAGCAGTGTGGGTATTTTCACACTCCGATGGATGTCAAATGAGATTCTCTGCTCATCATCAGTAATGCTCTGATAGGTGTTGACCCAGACATAGACACTCGGACAGCTCCATGCTTGTATTTCCAGTCACTCTCTGCATAGACTTAGCCTAAGGCAGCTGGATGCATTGGACGTGTCAGACTCGTGCTTTCCTTGGCAGAGTAGCAGAAGCTGTGTGAGAGGCATTAGCCCCAGGCAGGCAGGATTTGGGGCACATTGTGCAGGCTGCTGGAAGGCTGCTTGCCTGTGCCCAGGCTGTTGCAGAGTAGCCAGACAGGCCTCCTTCTTACCCCGGTGACCTGCCCTCTGTTCTTCTTCTCCTGGGGTACAGGGCAGCAGGTGATTGAGGAGCAGAAGCGGCGCCTGGCGGAGCTGAAGCAGAAAGCAGCTGCTGAGGCGCAGTCCCAGTGGGAGGCTCTGCACGGGCAGCCTCACTACCCCCCTTCTTCCTACCCTCCGCTCATGCATCACTCCATTCTCCATCATCATCCTCCCCACGGCATCGGGCACCGGGCCGAGGACATGGACCACGCCTATGACACACTCAGCCTGGAGAGTTCAGACAGCATGGAAACCAGTATCTCCACTGGTGGCAACTCAGCCTGCTCACCTGATAACATGTCCAGGTAATCCGGGCACCCGCTCCAAGCCTCCACGGGCAGGGTAATACCTGCCTTCTGGGCAGCCCGCGGAGGGGAGGGATGACAACAGGCGATGTGGAGAGAGTAGGCCGTATTCAGGGGAGACAGCAGAGCATTTCAGATGCCTGGCCTGGCCTAAGGGCACAGCAGCTGGCTTGGGGCTGAAAGCCTTTCACCACAGCGCTGCCATGTCAGTAATGAGCAACGAGTGCCCGGTGGTGCCGCATGACGTGAACTGGGTGGGGCTGGGAACCCAAGGTGCCTACATGCTAAAGGTCCTTGATGGGCATTTACTCGGGGCGGCTAGCCTCTACCGCAGCTCACAGTGCCATGGCAACACTACGCGTTACATGAGAGCTAGCACAGGTGCATCTACTTGAGCTGAGAGCCACCTGCTGCCCCAGCTCCAAGTATAGACACATCCTAAGTGCTGGGGGACAGAAGCCTGTTGAGCTGGGTCAGTAGAGCCCGAGGAGTAGCAGCCTGTGCAGGGGCAAGGAGGGGCAGGAACCTGGTCACTGGGTGGAGGGAGAGCTGCTTACTAAGTGCAGGGACTTGCAGAGTTTTACTGGGTTGACAGATGAGCTGTTTATGAGCATTTATGAAAACTTCATTACAGCCATCTTCCATCATCCATCCTACACACCCCAACCCTGCGCCGCTACTCTGAGACTCCCAAAACACCTCAGCACTGGCCTCAGAATCCTTGGGCAGTAACAGCCCCCACATCCCAAGCTGTTTGTTGGGGTACTGGATGAGCCAGGTGGAGCTTGAGGCTGGCTCCCCTTGGTCTGCACAATGTCAGCCTGAGTGCCAGGCTCTAAGAGCAGGGTGTTGGGAACTGCTGTGCTTCGGCAGTGTAGAGCAGCCAAACAAGCTGGGGATTTACTGGCTTGTGTATGTTCGTTGGGTTCAGAAATGTCAGTAAAATCATGAATTCCCCCTGTCTGGGGGGTCCCTTCTGGCTCTGTCTGCTTTGCAACATGGTGTTGGCAGGAAAACAAGTTCATCAAGCTTGTTCATGTTAATTCTGACAGTGCCTGTGGTGATTGGTGGTGTGAGCTGACCTGTGGCAGGCTGAGTGCATGAGCAGTATTGGGCTGGGGCAGAGCAGGCGATGGAGTTCCGTTTGATCCCCCAAGTACCTCTACAGTGAATTCCTAACTACAAACCGATCCCAATAAAACCCATGGTTGGCACCACGGCTTGGATCCACAGCCCAGAACCAAGCCCCTCCTCACGCAAAAGGAGAATTTCCATAAGCTGTTCCGGGACCTACTTATCCTTTGGATTAGTGTAAGCCCTTTGTGGCGGGGCAGTGTTCCCACCAACATTTTCTGTCCTTGGGTGGGCTGAATTGTCTTTTGAGCTGACTGAAATGTCTTATGTGCATTACCAATATTGAGGTAGTGTGTGGATGTGCACCGCCAATGCCAACAAAGCGCGCACGCACACACATTTTAAGCAGTCCATATGTGTGGAAGAAAATACATTAAAACAAGACGTCTTTGTCTAGTTGCTGTGAGGTACCCTTAGTGACTACAAAGGAGCTGTACAAAGGTAGGGCATTAGCCTTCTTCCACTTGAGGAAGAGCAGAAGCTCCAGAACAAATTAACACGTGGCTTCAGGGTTTGTAGATGGATGCATTTTTCAAAGAGCTTGCAAAAAGGTTTCATCCTACAAAACTAGCATCCTGCCTACTTGGTACTTCTGACTCATAAGAGCCAGAACTCTATCACATAGCAACGATCTGGCCTTAATGCAATATAGTTTACCATGTATTAATTAGTAACACAGGATTTTAAAAAATCATTAAGTTTAGAGTTTTAGATATCTGCAACACTCTAAAATATTCTGTTAAAAGAATCTTTTTCTTTCTTACCTTGAGCCATTAACACCTATGGAAACTTTGTTTGAAATGTTATCATGCAAATGTCCTCCTAGCACATACACACACTCACACTCCATGCAGCCTGCTTTCTCCCCTCTCTCCAATCCAGCTTAACAGAGAGGAGTCAGGATACACAAAACAAACTGCCCCCTGCCTCCATCTCACTGCACAGATGCCAACATTCACCCACCTGCTCTTTTCCCCACCTACCCCATGCAGTCAGCCCCTTACCTCCCCAATTCCCAGCCTAGGAGGATTGAAGAGACTGCTGGGTTTCTCTCTGTGTCCCACAGACTGGACTCCCCTCTCACTTTCCCCCAAGCCAATTAATAACTCCCTCCCCCTGCTGCCCCGATCCTGCCTTCCAGTGCACTTCAGCTTTTCTGCTCTGGGAACTCTTCAGTTCAGCATGGCAGTCTTTAGCTGCTGTTTACAGACACCCTGCCCCATGCTGGTCAGCTGAGCTCTCTGCCTGCGTGGGGAGCTTTGACCCTCTGAGCAGGGGTCAGAAAATAGCTGTGTGGCTGCACAGCTTAGAAGAAACTTTGGGCCAGAGTCATGTTTTCCTTCAGGTGCCACCATAACATGCTCATGCAGCTGTCCCTCAGAGTCAAGTGAATAATCCCGTGTGTGTGTGTGTGTGTGTGTGTGTGTGTGTGTGTGTGTGTGTGTGTGTGTGCGCGTGTGCACATTCCTGAGAGGGACACATGCTCCCAAAGTGTGTCTGGGGCCCCTGATGGGGCTTAGACAGAACTGTCTGAGTGCAGAAGGACTTATAGCTCACACTAAAACCTTCAGCTCCTTCACAGAGTAGATGTTGCTGCCAGTTAATCTCTGGGAAAGATTATTCCCTTACAGAGTTCTGGCTCACTAGCTTTGGCTGTGAGCTCTCAGTGGACTAGGAGTTTGCTTGGACCTGCTGCCTAATTAATGCCCAGAGGTGGATGAGAGTGGCATTCCTAGCTGCCATCCTTTTCTGCAGACACACAGTCAACCTGTGTGGAGCAGCCAGACTCCTGGCTCAAGCAGTGATTGCAGGCTATGATGTTATCAGCTTTGTCTTGCAGTGCCAGTGGGGTGGAGGCAGTGAAAATTGAAGAGATGGAGAAGATGCTGAAAGAGGCCCATGCAGAGAAATCTCGTCTGATGGAGTCACGGGTGAGTGGGGTCTTTATGTCAGTGCTAGGGAGTTATGATCAGGAGCATTCTCACCCTCTGTTCATGGGGACAAGGAAGTTTGCAGGGAGAGGGGATTGTCTTCAGGGTTGCCAGCTGTCCCACCTCAAGTAGTGCCTGTGTCAGTTAGTGCTGGGCATGCACAGGCAGGGCAAAGGGGATCCTGTTATGTCTTTTACTTGTCAGGAGCGGGAGATGGAGCTGCGGCGACAGGCTCTGGAGGATGAGCGCAGGCGACGGGAGCAGCTGGAGCGGAGGCTGCAGGATGAGACAACTCATCGGCAGAAGCTGATTGAGAAGGAAGTCAAGATGAGAGAGAAGCAGTTCTCTCAGGTGAGGGGAGGAATGTGGAGCAGAGAGGTGGGCAGAGCAGGGGATGGGAGAACAGTCCTTTTCCTATTCATCTCTGAAGTTATGGAGGCTGCATGGTGCCATTTCAGCCATAGACCTAGCATTCATGTGTGCATGGAAAGTGCAACCTAGCAAATACAGTTCCCTTGGGACTAATGATG